ACTTGTAACCCCAACACTAACCCTACCCTACCTGTAACCCCAACACTTTCCCTACTTGTAATTGTAACACTAACTCTACCTGTAACCCCAACACTAAGCCTACCTGTAACCCCAACACTAACCCTACCTGTAACCCCAACACTAACCTACCTGTAACCCCAACACTAAGCCTACCTGTAACCCCAACACTAACCCTACCTGTAATTGTAACATTAACTCTACCTGTAACCCCAACACTTTCCCTACTTGTAATTGTAACACTAACTCTGCCTGTAACCCCAACACTAACTACCTAACCCCAACACTTTCCCTACCTGTAACCCCAACACTAAGCCTACCTGTAACCCCAACACTTTCCCTACCTGTAACCCCAACACTAAGCCTACCTGTAACCCCAACACTTTCCCTACCTGTAACCCCAACACTAAGCCTACCTGTAACCCCAACACTTTCCCTATCTGTAACCCCAACACCCTACCTGTAACCGTAACACGAACCCTACCTTTAACCCGAACACTAACCTACCTTTAATCCCAACACTAATGTTCCTTATAACCCCAACAATATCTCTCTGTATGACCCTAACACTAGCCCTCGCTGTACCCCTACGCTAGCCCTTCTTTTTTACTTGAATCTGTTACCTAACCCGCTCTTTTACTTAAACCCTCCCAGGCAGCCAAACTATTCATGTAACCTAATCTTTTGTGTAACCTTAACACTCCCAGTTACTTTAACCCTAACGTTCCCAGTAACCTTATACTCCCTATAACCTTAATCATTCCTGTAAATCCAACCCTAAAACTTCCTAAAACCCTCATTTCCTTAGATCACACTACTCTCTGAACCTTAACCCTTTCTATAACCAAACCTTCTAAGTAAATCTCCAGGTATGAGATATGTAATCTTATGCCATGCCAAGCTGGACCAAAGTAAGTATGCAATTAGTATCATAGCCGGAGTTCAGCTTTAATGATTGTTCATTGTCATGCATTGAGGCTTCTGAAGATAACACATAGAAACAAGGAATACAAAACATCCAACTAACATGCTCCTAAAATCTCCGCGCTGTCCTACTTGTTTGAAGGCGCTCACGCAACCCTGTTTTGGTCAAGGTAAGTCGCCTATAGAAAAGTGCCTTTTGCTGCAGCAGAAGCGCATAATGCTAATAATTATGCAGTACATAAAGTACAAGGTCAAGCATCTTAAATATACATATGAATATAACAAGCGCCGATCTGAAGAGCTTGCCATACATTTGCCATTCTTGCATTGCATGTGACAGGTATTTGTAAAGAAAAAGAGAAAAAAAAAACCTCCCCGCTTTTTTCTATAGTGTAAATCAGGTGCTTTTCTGTTCATGTGAAATGGTTTAAGTTCAAGTGTGTGTGCGCTCCGCGGTTGTTGGCGAAGATGCGGCGGTTAACTATTGTTTTAATGCCACTTCATGATTCCAAGGCCCTTCTTTTCATGTCACACATAAAGGCACGAAAACTTTCCTCTGTCAGTACCTGCTAGTGCCAGTCATCACGTCCTCACCACCTTCAGCAACAAGAGAGGTTTGCGAGTATATGGGGGCCAATGCCTTTGCCTGATTCTCTAGTCCAATAATCATGCTGGATATCTGGTTTTAGGTTACGTATAGACAATAGACATCCCTCTCCAGGCTCCTTGCTGAATCCTGACCTGTCTGGTGTTGCATGCTGAAAATAAGTAAGTATGAACTAATGGTGTTCTCTGCTGAGAAAATTCTAGCTTTGCTATGTGTGCCAGCCTGAGGACCTAGACTTGCCTAATATTCCTCCATTGGTTATGAGAGACCTTCTTTGTGCTTCACAGGCCCTGTCACATTGACCTTCTTTGTACTTCACAGGCCCCATAATGTTGTCCTTCTTTGTGCTTCATAGGCCCCATAATGTTGACGTTCTATGTGCTTTATGGGCCCCATCACATTGGCCTTCTTTGTACTTCATGGGCCCTGTCACATTGGCCTTCTGTGCTTCACAGGTCCTTTCATGCTGGTCTTCTTTGTGCTTCATGGGCCCCGTCACATGGACCTTCTTTGTGTTTCATGGGTCCTTTCATGTTGACCTTGATTGTGTTTTATGGGGCCTGTCACGTTGGCCTTCTTTTTGCTTCACAGGCCCTGTCATGTTGACCTTCTTTGTACTTTACAGGCCCCATCACGTTGACCTTCTTTGTACTTTACAGGCCCCATCACGTTGGCCTTCTTTGTGCTTCACAAGCCCTGTCACGTTGGCCTTCTTTGTGCATCACAGGCCCCATCACGTTGACTTTCTTTGTGCTTCACGGACCCCATCACGCTGGTCTTCATTGTGCTTCATAGGCACCATAATGTTGGCCTTCTTTGTGCGTCATGGGCCTCATCACATTGGTATTCTTTGTGCTTTGCAGGCCCCATCATATTGGCCTTGTTTGTGCTTCACAGGCCCGGTAACATTGACCTTCTATGTGCTTCATGGGCCCCATCACATTGGCCTTCTTTGTACTTCATGAACCCTGTCACATTGACCTTCTGTGCTTCACAGGTCCTTTCATGTTGGTCTTCTTTGTGCTTCATGGGCCCCGTCACATTGACCTTCTTTGTGCTTCATGAGTCCTTTCATGCTGACCTTGATTGTGTTTTATGGGGCCTGTCACGTTGGCCTTCTTTGTGCTTCACAGGCCCTGTCACGTTGGCCTACTTTGTGCATCACAGGCCCCATCATGTTGACCTTCTTTGTGCTTCACGGGCCTCATCACACTGGCCTTCATTGTGCTTCACGGGCCTCATCACACTGGCCTTCATTGTGCTTCATGAGCCCTGTCATGCTGACCTTCCTTGCGCTTCATGGGCCCCGTCATATTGACCTTCCTTGTGCTTCATGGGCCCCATCACAACTATGTATCCCATTGCAGGGTTGTTAATACAAACATGTTAATGTGTGGGATTTCATTACAGAAGACATTTCATTAAGAATCGGCTGCCAATTGGCAATCACAGAGGTCAGACGTTTCCTGTAGTTAGCCACCAGGTTTGCACACATCTCAGGAGGTTTGGCCCACTCTTCTTGGCAGATCCTCTCCAAGTCATTAAGGTTTGGTAGCTGATGTTTGGCAACTCAAACTTTCAGCTCCGTCCACAGATTTTCAATCGGATTAAGGTCTGAAGACTGGCTAGGCCACTCCAGGACCTTAATGTGCTTCTTCTTGAGCCACTCCTTTGTTGCCTTGGCCGTGTGTTTTGGGTCATTGTCATGCTGGAATACCCATCCACGACCCATTTTCAATGCCCTGGCTAAGGAAAGAAGGTTCTCACCCAAGGTTTGACAGTACATTATTCCGCCCATCGTCCCTTTGATGCGGTGCAGTTGTCCTGTCCCCTTAGCAGAAAAATATCCCCTAAGCAGAATGTTTCCACCACGTTTGACAGTTGGGATGGTGTTCTTGGGGTCATAGGCAGCATTCCTCCTCCTCCAAACACGGCGAGTTGAGTTGATGCCAAAGAGCTTGATTTTGGTCTCATCTGACCACAACACTTTCAACCAGTCCTCCTCTGCATCATTCAGATGTTCAGTGGCAAACTTCAGACGGGCCTGGACATGTGCTTTCTTGAGCAGAGGGACCTTGCGGGCACTGCAGGATTTCAATCCTTGTCAGTGTAGTGTGTTACCAATTGTTTTTTTTTGGTGACTGTGGTCCCAGCTGCTGGAGAACATTGACAAGATCCTCACGTGTAGTTCTGGGATGATTCCTCACTGTTCTCTTGATCATTGACCCTCCACGAAGTGAGATCTTGCATGGTGCACCAGACCTAGGGAGACTGACAGTTGTTTTGTGTTTCTTACATTTGCGAATGATTGCACAAACTGTTGTCACCTTCTCACCAAGCTGCTTGGAGATAGTTTGGTAGTCCAGTCCAGCCTTGTGTAGGTCTACAATCTTGTCCCTGGACAGCTCTTTGGTCTTTGCCATGGTGGAGAGTTTGGAATCTGATTGTTTGATTGCTCCTGTGGACAGGTGTCTTTTATACAGGTAACAAAATGGGATTAGCAGCACTCCCTTTAAGAGACTGCTTCTAATCTCAGCTTGTTACCTGTATGAAAGACACCTGGTAGCCAGAAATTCTGCTGAATGATAGGGGATCAAATACTTATTTCCCTCATGAACATGCAAATCAGTGCCTCTTGTTAGACATGCATTTCTTTTGAATTGTTTGTTGCTGTTCTTTCTCTCAGTGTTACAATACACCTACCATTCGATTTTTAGACTGATCATTTCTTTGTGAGTGAGCAAACATTCAAAATCAGCAGGGGATCAAATACTTATTTCCTTCACTGTATCTGCCAACTGCATCAGGGCTTGAGATTTGCTGGCATCTGTCTCCCAGATTCACATAAGTAGTAAATTTGGTTTGGATGTGGAAATCTTCATTGGCAGTCAAATGTGAACTTGCAATCAAATGTGAGCATGGTGGATCCCCAGGGGATTCAGGTGTATCAAAACAACATCTACTCTCATATTGGAGATACATATCAATACGAAAACTGGAAATTTTCATGTTTATATCAAATACCTCCCTTACCGAATTAGAATTTTTTTTCTTCTGGACACCTCTAATACCCCACCAGATATCACAGAGGGATTTTTTTAAATAATTTTCCCATTTTACTGGTTTGCAGTATTTACTGTTTTCAGTTGGGAAATGATTGATTATAAGTGATTCAGTGTTAATTCCCCAATGTAAAGAGCATTCTTCCCAATGACCACCAATGTAAGGAACATACTTCCCACTGATCACTAATATATGGGGCCATTCTTCCCACCAACCACCAATGTAAGATACATTCTTCCCACTGATCACCAATGTAAGGGGAGCATTCTTCCCACACCAATGTAAGGAACATACTTATCACTGACCACCAATATATGTGGACATTCTTCCCAATGACCACCAATGTAAGATTCATTCTTCCCAATGACCTCCAATGTAAGGAGCATTCTTCCCACTGAACACCAATGTAAGGGACATTCTTCCCAATGACCTCCAATGTAAGGAGCATTCTTCCCACTGACCACCAATGTAAGAAACATTCTTCCCCCTGACCTCCAATGTAAGGAGCATTCTTCCCACTGACCACCAATGTAAAAAGCTTTCTTCTCAATGACCAATGTAAGAGGACATTCTTTCCAAGGACCGCCAATGCTGTTCACATGTAGCTGCACACAAAGTGGTTACCTACAGTTAGGGATGGATGTCTAAGCCTGGAGGCAGTCAGCTGTGTCCAGCCTTGGACATCTGTTCCTAACCGCAGGTAGGCACTTGTCCAAATCATTCCGCAGTCTGCTGATTCTTGCCGCTGGGATTTGGTGGCTACATGTAAATGGCTGTATGAAGGCATAAGGAGCATTCTTTCCACTGACCACCAATGTAAGAAGCATTCTTCCCACTGACCACCAATGTAAGAAGCATTCTTCCCACTGACTGTCAATGTAAGAAGAATTCTTTCCACTGACCACAAACGTAAGAAGCATTCTTCCCACTGACAACCAACGTAAGAAGCATTCTTCCCACTGACAACCAACGTAAGAAGCATTCTTCTCACTGCCAATGTAAGAAGAATTATTTCCACTGATCACCAACGTAAGAAGCATTCTTCCCACTGACCGCCAATGTAAGGGCATTCTTCCTACTGACCACCAATGTAAGCAGCATTCTTCCCACTGACCGCCAATGTAAGAAGCATTCTCCCACTGACCACCACTGCAAGAAGCATTCTCCCACTGACCACCAATGTAAGGAGCATTCTTCCCACTGATCACCAATGTAAGGAGCATTCTTTCCACTGGCCACCAATGTAAGGAGCATTCTTCCCACTGACCACCAATGTAAGGGACATTCTTCTCACTGACCACCAATGTAAGGGACATTCTTCTCACTGACCACCAATGTAAGGGAGCATTCTTCCCACTGACCACCAATGTAAGGGATATTCTTCCCATTGACCACCAATGTAAGAAGCATTCTTCTCACTGACCACCAATGTAAGGGACATTCTTCTCACTGACCACCAATGTAAGGAGCATTCTTCCCACTGACCACCAATGTAAGGGACATTCTTCCCACTGATCACCAATGTAAGGGACATTCTTCCTACTGACCGCTAATCTTAGGAGCACTTTTCTATAGACCGTCAATGTGAGAAAAACACTACATTTATTTTCTGGACATTATTTTAATTTGTTTCACTTTATTATTATTATCAATACTGCAAATCATTTTGTCTTATAGAGCAGCTCTGGATGCCAAATATGCCAAGTCAGCACATTTCTTATACCTCTATTTATTCTACTATTCATACAGTTGCAAGAAAAAGTATGTGAACCCCTTGGGATTATGTGGAGTTTTGCATGAATTGGGCATAAAATGTGCTCTGAACATCATCTAAGTCACAACAATAGAAGAACACAGTCTGCTGAACATAATACTACACAAACATTAGATGTTGCCATGGTATAATTGCACATAACATGTAAACATTCACAGTGCAGGGAGGAAAAAGTATGTGAGGCCCTAGCTTAATGACTTCTCCCAGAGCTAATTGGAGCCAGGAGTGAGCCAACCTTGACTCCAATCAGTGTGATGATATTGGATGTGTTGCTGACAGCTGTCCTGCCCTTAAAAAACACACACCTGTTTTGGGTTTACTGGTTTCAAGAAGCACTGTCTGATGTGAACCATGCCTCGCAGAAAAGAGCTCTCAGAAGACCTACGATCAAGATTTGTTGACTTGCATGAAGCTGGAAAGGGTTACAAAAGTATTTCCAAAAGCCTTGATGTTCATGTGTCCACGGTAAGACAGACTGTCTACAAATGGAGAAAGTTTAGCACTGTTGCTACTCTCCCTAGGCGTGGTCGTCCTGTAAAAATGACTGCAAGAGCACAGCGCAGAATGCTGCATGAGGTAAAGAAGAATCCCAGAGTGTCAGCTAAAGACCTACAGAAATCTCTGGCACATGCTAACATTTTTGTTGACACATCTACAATAAGGAAAACATTAAACAAGAATCGAGTACATGGGAGGACACCACGGAGGAAGCCATTGCTGTCCAAAAAGAATATTGCAGCACGTTTGAAGTTTGCAAAAGAGCACCTGGATGTTCCACAGCACTACTGGCAAAATATACTGTGGACAGATGAAACCAAGATTGAGTTGTTTGGGAAGAACACACAACACTATGTGTGGAGAAAAAAAGGCACAGCACGCCAACATCAAAACCTCATCCCCACTGTAAAACATGGCGGAGGGAGCATCATGGTTTGGGGCTGCTTTGCTGCCTCAGGGCCTGGACGGATTGTTGTCATTGATGGGAAAATGAATTCCAGAATTTATCAAGACATTTTGCAGGAAAACGTATGACCATCTGTCCGCCAACTGAAGCTCCGCAGAGGATGGGTGATGCAACAGGACAATGACCCAAAGCATACAAGTAATTCAACAAAACAATGGCTGCAACAGCACAGAATACGCCTTCTGGAGTGGCCCAGTCAGAGTCCTGACCTCAACCCGATTGAAATGCTGTGGCATGACCTTAAGAGAGCGATTCACACCAGACATCCCAAGAATATTGCTACACTGAAACAGTTTTGTGAAGAGGAGTGGTCCAAAATGACTCCAGATCGTTGTGCAGGTCTGATCTGCAACTACAGGAAACGTTTGGTTGAGGTTATTGCTGCCAAAGGAGGGTCAACCAGTTATTAAGTCCAAAGGTTCACATACTTTTTTCCTCTCTGCACTGTGAATGTTTACATGTTATGTACAATTAAACCATGGCAACATTTAATGTTTGTGTAGTATTATGTTCAGCAGACTGTGTTCTTCTATTGTTGTGACTTAGATGACGTTCAGAGCACATTTTATGCCCAATTCATACAAAACTCCACGTAATCCCAAGGGGTTCACATACTTTTTCTTGCAACTGTACTCTAATCTTCATACTAATGGTCCATGAGCCATACATATAATATTCATAACAGGGGTTCCGTGAGACCTGAAAGCTATTTCAATTGTTCCACACTATTGGTGGCTGCATTTGTTTTCTTTTTTTTTCAGGCTAAATCCTTTTTTTTGGCAAGTACAGAAACCTGTTGTTTCTAGGTAGAATTTCAGCCTCTTTGAAATTTCCTGTGATTCACAGAACAACCTCCTATGTACTGGAGATGAAGTGAGGAGGAGGTGTTCGGTTGCGCTGTCCTAGACTGACAATGCTGCTCCTCCATAGATTTGATGCGTTCAGTAAACTTTGTCACCCTTGGACCGGCAGTGTGTTACTGGCAGGATCATCGAATGAACATAAAGGGGACCAAAGCCTGAAAAAAGAAAAAGGTACAGCCACCACATGTAAGGACTGGTGAGCTGCAATATATCACATTCTTATTTTTTGGCTTTAGATATGCTTTAAGTCACAGGTCACACTGCTGCGATTTAAAATCGCGCAATTTGTGGGCAATTTTAGTGCGATTTCTGAAGACTTCATTGCTTCTTGTGAGGATTTTCAACGATTTCTTGCAATTTGCAGTGCGATTTCCATTATAGTCTATGTATGAGAAATCACAACAAAACTGCAGAAAAAAGTAATGCGAGACACTGACATTCACATTTGTTAGATGCTATTTCATTTCGCAAATCGCACCGGTATGACTGGGCACTAAGCCCTCGTCCCATCAAGCCCTATGCAAATTGCACCAAAAGTAGTGCATGTACTACTTTTGAAATCGGTGCGGCTCTGACCAAGTCGGAACCGCACCGATATGACCGCCGTAATTGTGAACAATAGGGAGCGACTTGGCATGCAATTTGCAAGTCGCTGGGCATGCATATCGCATGCGAAGTTGCACCGATATGTAAGTCACCGGTCACACTGCTGCAATTTAAAATCGCACGATTTGTGTGCAATTTCAGCACGATTTCAGGTGCGATTTCTGAAGGCTTTATTGCTTCTTGTGAAGATTTTCAGCAATTTCTTGCAATTTGCAGTGCGATTTCCACTATATTCTATGTATGTGAAATCGCAACAAAACTGCAGAAAAAGTAATGCAAGAACTACCTTAGAAATTGCGCTGCAGAAAATCACAAATGCTAAGACACTGACATTCACATTCATTACATGCAATTTCAGGTGTGATTTCAATTCCCAAATCGCACCTGAAATCGCACAGGTATGACCGGGCACTTAAGCTGAAATGTAATCTGCTAATATTTTGCCTTCCCTGGTTCTCCCTTCCATCTCATTAACATGCTAATGATATTTTTATGTAAATCCTTTCTCTTTTTACTACATACCTTATTTTAGATGCCATCAGTTGGTCTCTGTGCTTCTCAATGCAATGCAGCCAGATCATGGCTGGTGGGAGGGGCCATTACTATACATATGCATGTACATGCTTCCTGAAAACATCACAGCACCCTGCCTCAGTACTCCTCCCAAGAGCCCTCAGTCCTCATAAAACAATGGGCTGGCTCTTGGGGAGGAGTTAAGCAAGTATCAAAGTGCTTGATAGGTGGGTATCTCATGGAGTGGTGTTCCTAGGCAGACCCCCTACCTGTGATTCTAAGCCACCGTGATTGACAGAAGTAAAATCCAATGAAAAAAAGGGAAAGGGGCAGACCAGGGCCAGAGGGGTGGGGGGGGGGGGGGGGGGGGGGGGGGGGGCTAGATCAGGGGTCTCCAAACTTTCTAAACAAAGGGCCAGTTTTCTGTTCTTCCAACTTTAGGAGGGGTAAAAATTGTGCCCCTTGTTGATGTCAGTGGGAGTAAAAAGTGTGCCCCTTGCTGGTGTCAGTGGGAGGAATAGTGCCCCATCATTAGTGTCAATGGGAGGAATAGTGCCCCATCATTAATGTCAATGGGAGGAATAGTGCCCCATCATTAGTGTCAATGGGAGGAATAGTGCCCCATCAATGGTGTCAATGGAAGGAATAATTCCCCATCATTGGTGTCAGTGGGAGGAATAGTGCCCCATCATTGGTGTCAGTGGGAGGAATAGTGCCCCATCATTGGTATCAGTGGGAGGAATAGTGCCCCATCATTGGTATCAGTGGGAGGAATAGTGTCCCATCATTGGTATCAGTGGGAGGAATAGTGCCCCATCATTGGTATCAGTGGAGGAATAGTGCCCCATCATTGGTATCAGCGGGAGGAATAGTGTCCCATCATTGGTATCAGTGGGAGGAATAGTGCCCCATCATTGGTGTCAGTGGGAGGAATAGTGCCCCATCATTGGTGTCAGTGGGAGGAATAGTGTCCCATAATTGGTGTCAGTGGGAGGAATAGTGCCCCATCATTGATATCAGTGGCGGACTGACAACTCATGGAGCCCCCGGGCAATAGGGGATCATGGGGCCCCTGTGTCCTCACCCACACTCAAACCACACCCAAAAAAGACTATGAAAGGTACCAGGGACATCTCATGGGGCTCCCTACTGACCCTGGGCCCTCGGGCAGTGCCCGCATTCCCCAATAGCCAGTCCGCCCCTGGCCCCATCCTTGGTGTCAATGGAAGGAATAGTGCCTCATCATTGGTATCAGTGGGAGGAATAGTGCCCCATCAATGGTGTCAATGGAAGGAATAGTGCCCCATCATTGGTGTCAGTGGAAGGAATTGTGCCTCATCGTTGGTGTCAGTGGAAGGAATAGTGCCCCATCCTTGGTGTCAGTAGGAGGAATAGTGCCTCATCCTTGGTGTCAGTAGGAGGAATAGTGCCCCATCCTTGATGTGATTTGGAGGAATAGTGCCCCATCCTTGGTGTCAGTGGGAGGAGTAGTGCCTCATCGTTGGTGTCAGTGGGAGGAGTAGTGCCTCAACGTTGGTGTCAGTGGGAGGAATAGTGCTTCATCGTTTGTGTCAATGGAAGGAATAGTGCCCCATCAATGGTGTCAGTGGAAGGAATAGTGCCCAATCTTTGGTGTCAGTGGGAGGAATAGTGCCCCATCATTGGTGTCAGTGGAAGGAATAGTGCCCCATCCTTGGTGTCAGTGGGAGGAATAGTGCCTCATCGTTGGTGTCAATGGAAGGAATAGTGCCCCATCCTTGATGTCAGTAGGAGGAATAGTGCCTCATCCTTGGTGTCAGTAGGAGGAATAGTGCCCCATCCTTGGTGTCAATGGGAGGAATAGTGCCCCA